ATAGGGCCAGTCCGTTTCTGGACACCTGATAATAGCAAAAAGTTGATTTTAGCATCAAATCGTAGAGCTCCATGTGTAATACAACGTACGAAAATTTTATTAAAATATACAGGGTGGTTTCAAAGTTATAACCCTAAACGTTAATTTCTAGGTACCCCTTTGACCCCCCATAACTCCGTTAGGGGGCACATTAGGAAAAAAATTATAGGAAGGACTAGTTTTATTTTGACCTCCCCTATACACTCCCGAGAGATTAGGAGGTACTTACCGGAGACCCTGTATATAAAAAAAGATAAAGAAAAAATCATAACACGGCGAGGAAAATTAAAGTTCGTTGAATCGTTGGTAAACTTTACAACGATTTTTTTGTTTATAAACAATATTCAATAATTTAATAAAATATATTTAGTTTATTCCAATTTATTTATACCGTCAGCAGGTAGGTAATTCGTGAATAGATATTTCAAAAAGGTATCAATTTCAAAAATCGTTTTTATGAAAGTCTGTATTTTTGTATAAATGGAGTTCCTTGAAATTCAGAAATGCCAGGAAAACGCGTGACCTTGAAAATTTTAAAAATTTTCGCCTGCGGCGCCATTTAAAGGATTTCCGGGCGCTTAATATCCCACAATTGAATTCAACAAATGTGACAACCCTAAGCAGAACACATTCAATCAATGTTCACGCGCCGCCACTATATACAGGCTATTACAAATTCGCTTCTCACTACAGGGATCTCGGAAACGGTAAGAGATACGAAGTAGCTTAAATGGGGCAAAGTTGCAAAATAAGGAGACCAACATTATGCCTCTAAAAAATCAAGGTTAACATTAGTTTTCGAAAAAAAACGAAATTCTGGAAATACTTACGTTTTTGTTTCATATCAGCCTTGTTTGAAGAACATTCATAAAGAAGAACACTTTCTCATGGCAACTTTTTGCCCTCTATTCAATGGCATACTCAGTTTTTATATGTAACGTTTCGTCTCTCCAGGACCATCATCAACTTAATTTTTTTAAATACAACCCTAGAAATTTTGTTACATTTTTTGCCTTGCCCCCAATACTGTACTGCCACAGCCCGAACCAAATCCAGACGTTTTGTCTCGAAAAATGTATCTTCAATTTATTTTATTTTTTTTAACAGGCTTCTAAGCTTCTAAAAGTTTCTAAAAGCGAAATTGGTCTGATGATTTTTCCAGTAAAATAACTATTATTTATTTTTACCAAAGTTTATTTTTGAAACATACAGTGTGGCCCATTTCGAATGGAAACATTTTTATGAAAAATGTATTTATTGATCGATAATTTCTTTTTTATAACATACAAATCCGTTTTCAGTTGTCAAACTGAACCTTTTACTTCACCTTTTACTTTTTTCGATGTCAAATTTGACAAAAATTGATTAGCGATTTTTTTAATTAGTCCAATCCAAAAAATTAAATTTAAGATTACTGTTTAATTTTTGTATAAGTGATGGTTTCTGTCATTATTGGTATGATTTTTTGTTATTCGTTATTATAATCGATTCATATTAAAATTAAAAATTATTGTTTAATTTGTGACTGCACATTTAAGAAAAACACGTTAGTAAACATTTTATTTATTTATCTTAAGAAATTTTAAAATAAATAAATTACGTAATTGTTTTAATAAAATTTGTAATTACTGTAGTATTTGTTTTTCATCACTGAATACAATAAAAATCATTGTTTACAACAATGAGCAAATTGTAGATATACTTATTTCTTCTATTTTTTACTTTTTAATTTTCTCTTATACAGAACAGAATTTGTTAAAAAATATACTCTGCGGTTTTGTTATGATTATAAGTTGTATGGAATTGTACAATATTTTTTTTATTTGATATAAATTTCCTGTAATTGGGTTTTCCTGTTGGAAATAAATGACATTATTTTTATTATTTAATTTATTTATGATTTCACAGCTTGCTTTACCTTACCTTTTCATTCATCATTTTTTCAATGATCAATAAATACTTTTTCTTGAAATTTGGTTCAAAATCCGATGGTGTAGTCAGATTTTAAATAAAAAAAAAATTCTAATCAATTTTTATCAAATGTGACACCGAAAAAAAATGTGAAAGTAGGCTTTGGTGACCGAAAATAAATTGAAAATAAATTTAATGTGATTTAATATAATAAGTCAACAACCCGCACCCTAAATCAGATCATAAATGTTCAATTTTTCAAATTTTTTTGTTTTTTTTCAATTTTTCTGCTCAAAAAAAACATTTTTTCAGACGTCTAATTTTTCGGAAATAGTATCATATCGCAGTTTTAATGCATACCCTGTATATTGTTCTAGAAAAGTTAATTTTACATACAAGGAGTCCCGAAAAAACCGAACCTCCCTATAACTTTTTAAAATTGAGAAATTATTGTAAGAAATCAATATACCAGTGACCTTGAATTTCACCTTAATCTTAAGTTTCAAAATTCATTTTTTTCCTAAATAATTCGGAAAAATGTATGCTATGAAGCAGAATTTAAATTAGACGATGACCTTGTATTTGACCTTGAGCACAAGTTACAAGGTGAAATTAAGGTCAACTTAATACCAA